GCCAAATACCTAAGTAAATTTGGAGTGAATTGTAAGGTTGTCAACTACCCGTAAACTTGGAGATTGTAAGGTATGCAAGAACCCGAAGTCTTAGAAGATTGTAAAGGTTTGTCAAGCACCCGTGAAGCTTGACCATTAGTGAAAGAGTTGAACGAGCGACTTCAGTCTGGACGTAGGTCACAAGTGGTGGTGACCGAACCAGGATATATTGTGTTTGCAATTCTCTAAACTCTAAACTCTTTATTTTTAGCACTTTAATTGCTTCTTTGATATCTTGTATGTTCTAGAATAAGTGCTATAATTATGATATATTATGTATTATGGATTGTTTGAATATATTGATTAGCTTTTCAAAGTTTTCTTGAAATGATTATTTAGAAACTAGAAGGGGCTTTTGCGAAAATCTTGTAACACTCAATTCATCCCCCCTCTTGAGTATGGAAGCCACATTCCTAACAGTAATGACTTGGTTCTATCACCACTTCTTCCTTCCTTTAGTGGGTTCATTATGAACTACAACATGCATTCGATAACTGTTTTCACTGCCTGAGTTGTTAAGCATGTTAACAACTGTTAAGGTGTCTATCAAGAAGGACAAGACATAAGCTCTTCTTATTTGTGGGTCTTCCAAGACCAAGGATAAAGGTAAGGGGAAAGAGCTTGCGAAGTCCAATCCCCTCAAGCCCAAAGGAAAATCCAATAAGAAGAAGGAAAAGGCCAAGGGTAAGGGCAAGGACAAAAGTAATGCTGAGTGCTTCCATTGTGGCAAGAAAGGCTATTGGAAGAGGAACTATCCAGACTACATCAAGGGAGTGATGGGCAAGAAGCATGGTGATACTTCTACCACAAGTATTTATGTGATTGAGATTATTTTTTTTGTGCTAACCGACTTCATGGGTATTGGATATAGGTTATGGTTCTCATATCTGCAATATGCTGCAGGTGCTTAAGAATCCAATGAAGCTAGACAAGAACGAGGTGAATCTTCAAGATGGGAATGGAGGAAGAGTTAGTGCATTGGCTATTGGAGATGCTGACGTTGTTTTTCCTACGGGCCTTATGTTGCATTTGAAGAATTGTCTTTATGTTTCAAACATTTCTAGAAACATTACTTCTATTTCTTATTTAGAACGAGATGGTTTTATATTTACACTTAAGAGTGCTGAGTTTTCTGTCATTACGAATGATATTGTTTTTGCTACTGCTTCTTTGGTAAAAGGCTTATATGTTCTAGAAATGGGAAATAAAGTCCTCAATATGAATGTGAAATGATACCTTGGATAGATAATTAATCTTATCTTTGGCATTATATACTAGGACACATAAACGAAACAAGACTGTCTAGGAGGCTACATGCGAATGGATACCTAGATTCCATGGATTTAGAATCCTATGAACCTTGTTAGTCTTGTCTAGCTGGAAAAATGACTCAAACTAAGCCCAAAAAGCTTGAGAGTATAGGGCTAGTGAGTTGTTAGGACTTATTCACTCTGATGTATGTAGCCCAATGTCTATCGAGGCTAAAGGAGGATATTCTTACTTTATTACCTTTACTAATGATAAGTCAAGATTTGGGTATATGTACCTGATGAGACATAAATTTGAGGTCTTTGAAAAGTTCAAGGAGTATAGGAGTGAGGTAGAGAAACAACAATGCAAGAAGATTAATACACTACGATCAGATCGTGGTGGCGAATATATGAGCAACGAGTTTCAGGATTATCTAAGGGAGAATGAGACTCTCTCACAGCTTACTGTGCCCTACACGCCACACTAGAATGGAGTATCTAAAAGGAGGAACCAAACCTTGTTGGACATGGTTAGGTCCATGATGAGTGAGACAAAACTCCCAAAAACATTTTGGGGGTATGCCTTGAGCATTGCAACATACCTTCTGAATAGGGTATCTTCTAAATCTGTTTAAACCACTCCGTATGAGATATAGACTGGTATGTGACCCAACTTGAGCTACCTCAAGGTTTGGGGATCTCCGACATATGTCAAGGCATTGACATCAGACAAGCTTAATGCTAAGAGCACTAAATGTCTATTTGTGGGGTATCCCAAAGGACTAAGGGATGCTACTTTTACTCAGTGGATGATCACAAAGTGTTTGTGTCCAAGAAAGCTGAGTTCTTAGAGAAGGATCTTCGTTCTCAAGGAGCTAGTAGGAGTAAAGTTGAACTTGAGAAAGTTCAAAGTCCACTAGAACAGATTAAGAAACTCGAGTCTACTCTGCAGACGACGTTCTCCAATGAAGAAGTAAGCACACAACTTCGTAGGTCTACTAAGGTTAGTCAACCACTTGAGAAGTACGGTTATGTGATTGATAATCAGCAAACTGTTGAGGATGGCGAACCTAGTAGCTATGAGGATGTGGTCAAAGATGTTGACTCCCCCAAATGGCTTGAAGCCATGAGATCTGAAATAGACCCGATGCATCAAAACCAGGTATGTACTTTGGTTCCACATCTAGAAGGAATGGTTCCTATTGGATGCAAGTGGGTCTTTAAGAGAAAGACTGATGCAGAAGGCAATGTTCAAACCTATAAGGCTAGGTTGGTTGCGAAAGGGTATCGTCAAAGACAAGGAGTTAACTATGACGAGACTTTCTCTCACTTGTTGCCATGGTCAAGTCTGTTCGGGTCATGCTAGCTGTAGCAACATATAAAGACTATGAAATTTGGCAAATAGATGTCAAGATCGCGTTCTTGAATAGGTTCTTGAAGAAGGAGGTGTATATGACACAACCTGTAGGTTTTGAGTCAAAAGGCTAGAAGCATATAGTATGCAAACTTGAAAGGTTAATATATGGGCTATAGCAAGCATCACGAAGTTGGAACATTCATTTTGATGAGGTCATTAGGAGTAACGATTTCAACAAGAACTAGGATGGGCCTTGTATTTACAAGAAGGTTAGTGGGAGCAATGTTGTTTTCTTGGTGCTATATGTGGATGACATACTGCTGATAGTGAATGACATCCCAATGCTTCAAATTGTTAAGGAGTGGCTTTCTGAAATCTTCACCACGAAAGATTTGGGAGAGACGACCTATATACTAGATATAAAGATCTATAGAGATAGATATAAGAGGTTGGAGATGATATGCCATATGTTTTGACTAGAACCAAAGGGGTTGAGATTCTTAGTCTTTATCTCTATATTTATAGTATGCATCATGATCTGTTTGTAGGTTAAACTGACCTCCTTTGTATGACAGTTTTGTTATGTCTTTTGATTGGTTCAATTTTGTGATCTTTATAACTTATTTCTTATTGCTGGCTATAGGGTTGAGACTTAATTGGGTTGAGACTTAATTGAATGCTTGTTTGTGCTGTTCAATCATTGGCTAGATGAGATGGTGGTGTTTTGAGTTATTGAAGAAATCCCGCAAGACGAGGTGTTTACATATTCTTAGGAGACGTTTGGTTGAGGAGAAATTTTTTGAATACTAGGGAAATGTAATTACTAGAAAAATGGTTGGAAAGTGAGTTTGGTAGGAAAGTTAAAAAAAATTGTTTGGTTGGTCAAAATTTTACCAGGAAAATTGAGTTAAATTTTGCGAGTCTTTGTTTGGTTGAAGGTGAAATTATGATGGGTAAATGTGTTGAAATACCAAAAATAACCCTTGATATTTTAGAGATGTAGACATGTGTACTTAGAAGAGGGCAATATGGTAACACTCTTCATTCACCTTTTTGCATTTTAGCTAGTTTTCTAGGAATATCACATCCTAGATAGTAAAGTTTTACCATGATTTGCTTTTAATTTTGGACATACTTGTGAAGGATGGGGAAAAAAGAAGCATAGCTAAATTTTTTTAATCTTTCTACCAAAAAAAACAATCAGGGGGCGTTTAGTTGAGGAAATTTTTTTGAAATAGTAGGGAAATGTAATAGATAGAGAAATGATTGAAAAGATAGATAAAGTGAGATAGGTAGAAAAATGTACAAAAAAGTTGTTTGGTGGGAAAAAACTTTACTGGGAAAATTAGGTAACTTTATGAAATCAACAGTGCATTAAAAGTCAGATAATCGGTTTTTCGAAAAATCCCACCTTCAAATTGGGTTTCTAAACAGTGCGGATATCTATGTTTTTCATAAATCCATACAAATTGGGTAGATGAGTTTTTGGTGAAAATACGTTGAAACAAACATGGTGTTTCTAAAAGCCATTCTTGAGAAACATAGATATCTGCTGAGAAGCTCCCAACCAAACACCACCTCATAGAATACCACTTCAAGATAGATGGGGAAGCAAATAAAAAACTTCAACCAAACGCACCCTTAGTGTTTCTTACTTGTTAAGGAATCTTTTAGGCTTGTTCTATTGATTAGCCTTTACCTTAGTTCAATGGGCTTCTTATCTTTGAGCCCAATATTATTGATCAAGATCATGATTTTATACATAATTGAGGAGAAAATTTCTAAAACAAATGATAGTTGATTAAAAGAAAAGTTAACATAGGAGATACATACTATAATTTGCCTCGAAAACAAACCAAGATCAGTGGTTTGGCTTTGTAATAATTGAGTTTTGTTTTTAAAATTTGGGTTTAACTTTTCTTATGTTGTAGGATTGTAGGAGAGAAAAAAAGTAGAGAGAAGTTAAATGTGGGTCCCATATTTTATATTAAAAAAGAAAAGAAAAATTATTTGGCACGGAAAACGAATTTGTGTAGGAAAATGAGATTAACTCATGTGACATGAGAGTATTATTTCCCTTAAAATTTAGTAGAATGGTCAAATGGGACGCTATGTATCATTGAGATCCCATAATTATTTAGGATATAAAAATGTGAAAAATGCTGACACCACATAGCAGCCAGCCAGCCAATAACTGCAAAAAGAAAATAATTATAACGTAAATACATTCATCCAATCAAAGGCATCCAAGAATCCAACCATCACCAATTACATTCAAAAGCATACAAGTAACAGGAGATACAATTAAATCGAAAAAAACGCGTTGCGGATAATAGAAAAAAAAATAAGAAAGGCAAAAATAAAAAGTATAGAGACCCCTTTCCGTTCAATTTTGAGGTAAAAGAAAAAGAGTGATCCAGTCTTTTTCGTTCTAGATCCAAAGAGAGTGTGTGTGTGTTTGCGGTGTGCAATGGCGAAAAAGGCAGTGCTGATTGGAATCAACTACCCGGGAACGAAGGCTGAGCTGAAAGGATGCATAAACGACGTGTGGAGGATGCACAAATGCCTGATCGAGCGATACGGATTCTCCGAAGATGACATCACCGTTTTGATCGATACGGATTCGTCGTATACGGAGCCAACTGGGAAGAACATACGATCGGCGTTGACTAGACTGATCCGATCGGCGGAGCCTGGCGATGTGCTGTTCGTCCATTACAGCGGACACGGCACTCGCCTCCCTGCCGAGACCGGAGAAGAGGATGACACTGGTTATGATGAATGCATTGTTCCTTCTGATATGAACCTCATCACTGGTTGGTCAACTCTTTTATTTTTATTTTTTTGGTTTCTTTTTTGTTGTTTGATTTTTTTTTTTGTTTAATTAAATGAATTGTTCATTTTTTTTAATACTTTTTTTTTTTCCCTTACTCGTCCTGTATTGATGCGCTTTTACTTATAATGTAAGTTAACATTTTTCTGCGAGTTTCTCAGAAACTATGGTCAAAATTTGGTCCCTCTTGGTCAGTTGGGTGTGCGGGGGTACAAATGAAGTAAAAAGAAATCATAGATCCGCTTTTTAGTAGAATTGTATTGAACACTGATTCATGACTTTTTCTTACTGATTAATACCCCGTTATGAAACCCACCCTTATTTGTGATGTTTATTATGTATTTGTTTTATAGTAATTCTGGTTTTATTATCAACTTAATTCAATTCTAGCAGTAGCAGTGTTTTTTTTTTTTTTTTTTTTGGATTGGCATGATTCTTGTGGAAAGTAATAAACCATTTGTGTGTGTGTAAACAGATGATGATTTCAAGGAATTTGTGGACGAGGTCACTAGAGGTTGTAGGCTGACAATTGTATCAGATTCTTGCCACAGTGGTGGCCTTATTTCAGATGCTAAGGAGCAGATAGGAGATAGCACAAGGGGAGGAGAAGAGCAACATTCTGGGTCTGGCTTTGGATTATCAAGCTTTATACATCAGACAGTGGAAAATGCTATCGAGTCTCGCGGAATTCATATCCCTTCAGCATTGCGTCACCATGGTCGCAGGAATGATGATAATGATGATGAAGACAGGGACATTGAACTTCCACACGGGCGACACGGCTATGCAAAGAATAGGTCTCTGCCCCTTTCAACCCTCATTGAAATACTAAAACAGAAAACTGGAAAAGATGATATAGATGTCGGGAAAATTAGACCTACACTGTTCGATGTTTTCGGGGAAGATGCTAGCCCTAAAGTAAAGAAGTTCATGAAGGTTATCTTGAATAAACTCCAACATGGCGGCGGTGCAAGTGAGCAGGGCGGAATCTTGGGGTTGGTGGGTAGTCTTGCTCAAGAGTTTCTCAAGCAAAAGCTGGATGAGAATGACGAAGGATACGCTAAACCTGCTCTAGAGACACGCGTCGGAAGTAAGCATGAGGCATATGCTGGATCGACCAGGCGCGGCGTTCCAAATGGTGGAATTTTAATGAGTGGCTGTCAGACAGATCAGACTTCTGCAGATGCAAGTCCTGCCGGAAATTCTGACAGCGCTTATGGAGCTTTTAGCAATGCAATACAGGCTATAATTCAGGAGACTGATGGTGCAGTTACAAATCAAGAGCTTGTTCTGAAGGCTAGAGAGAAGCTGAAGAGGCAGGGTTTCTCTCAACAACCTGGACTCTATTGCACTGACAACCATGTTGATGCTCCTTTCGTGTGCTGATCTGTTCTCATCTTATGCAGAGAGAGAGAGAGAATAATGTGTGTTTTGTATGGTATGCTCGTGTGTTGATGTCTGTGTTTGGACAATACATGTTTGCACAAAAGGAATATTTACTTCAACTATTATTCCAATGATCATTTACGATATCTGATACAAAATAGTTCAAATTCGGACTGGACTATCCAATACACCCTAGCTAGAATAATGTATTTTGTATGGTATGCGTTCAAATTCGGACTGGACTATGCAGCAATACACCCTAGCTAGAATAATGTGTTTTGTATGGTATGCTCGTGTGTTGATGTCTGTGTTTGGACAATACATGTTTGCTCAAAAGGAATATTTACTTCAACTGTTATTCCAATGATCATTTACGATATCTGATACAAAATAGTTCAAATTCGGACTGGACTATCCAATACACCCTAGCTATCTACTGTTTCACTTTCTCAGTGAATCATCTTTACAAATATACAAAATCGAATTATATGCCAAAATGGGTGATAAAATAATAACAAAATGAGACTGCACAATTGTGTTGCTTGGCGCAGAGGATGAGTCCTTCTCCTCTCCAAAAAATTCAGCATCAATGGATGAGCCTTTTCCTAAAACCAAAAAATGCTTGTTGACTTCCAAAGACACAATGTATTGGCTGTAGTGCAAGCAACTTTCAGAAGGCAGCACCTAAGTACAAACTTGTTAAAAACCAAAGGTGAGCGAAGACTATTGTCAAAGGTCAATCCTCAATTTCTTGGACCCATGCTAAACCTGCAAATTATGTAAGGCAAAATTAGGTCACTTTCTTTATCACATTTGACCAAACTAAAGCAGATCAAGATTCAGAGAGAACATTTATCTATTAATTATTTCATATGTACTGAACTGAATACAACTTCCCATCAGGCTAACAAAAAAAACCCTGTTTTAAAAGAATAATTACATCAATTTTAATATATATTAATGCGGTAGGAAACAATACCGGATTAAAAAGAATTTTTTTATCACAGTGCATTCTTTCAATCTGTTAAAGAAGTATATAAACCATTGATTGGGCCTTTTAATGGTTTATACTATTCTCTAACAATTATGAAAGTGTACATTACATGCTTCAAGTACAGATTTAAGACTTTCTTTGTGTGGATGCCCTAAACGGCATGCCACCTAGCACAAAGAGAGGTTCCTATTTTACAATCAGGAGATGTTACTACAGACTCAATGTTATGAACAAAATATGTTACATTCGAAGGCTGCACAGGATTATGAACAGAAAAGATACTTTGAATTTTTTGTGGAAGACAGATTGAGTTATCACACAAATTGATTCCATGAAACATATAAAGGCAACTCGAGTCAAGTGTTCCTTCAAGTAAAATTTTGTCTGACCCCTCCACATCCCCTTCCTCTGTAATTATGACCACCAGAACGTCCCTTGCCTCTATTTGAGCCATACAAACTGTTTCCACGGTCAAAACCAGTGCTCTGTTCTTAAGCAATTAGTACTTCAGATTGCTTAACTATCATTTGTTCATGTGTCATCAACTATATTCTAAGATCTTCAATGGAATAAGCTTTCTTGCGTCCATGAACTGTTGTAACAAAGGCCATATATTTTGATGGAAGCCTTCGAGTACGAGTTCACCTTTTGCCTTGAGTGAATCACAAAGACTATTGATGCATGAAAGATACTCTTTCACAGTCTTTGATCCTATTTTGATTGAGTGCAGTTCTGACCTTAACTGCCTTGCCTTTGATTTTATCATTTCATGAAATAACTTATGTATTTTGTCCCACGCCTCATGCAAATATTTCACTACTAGGATATCATTCACTATTGATTCAGAAATGGTTGAAAGAAGCCTTGACAAATGTAAAGAACCAATTCTACTCAAAAGCTTAAGCTATTAAGTGAAGGTCCATCATTATGTGAAAGCCCATCAATGATTTATATATACTTCTCTAACACAATCCAATGGATTACTTTGAGAGATGTTCATTCTATACATAATTATTCTCAGATGTAAGATTGACTTTGATTTACTCCTATGTCAACAAATCATGATAGAGATTTTGCTGCATAACAATTAGAAACTCCTACCATACCGATTTTTCATATAAAACAAGATAACTAAGTATACGGTGGTCCATCTTCAGAATTTTTTTTTTGGAAATTACTTTAATTTTAAGAAATCAGCTGCCAACGCAAGCAGCCGACGCTCCCCTTCCCAGCATCTGTTCTTCACATCACTGGTCTCTTCTTGCTCGCCAACAGCCCCTCATTCAGTCTTGTTGGTTAGCAGCCCAGATCTGGTTCATCTTAGTAGTGGGTCATTGGTTCCCACTCTATTTGGGTACTGTTCACATGCTTCTCTGGCCATGTGCCACCTGTCATCACTCCTAAGTCCTAGCCCCATCTCAGTCACCTCTTGGAGACCGCAATGGCCTCAAGTCCAAGTCCAGAACATCCTCATTTATTCGAAGTAACCAATCCATCACATAATGTTCTCATCGATTATGCCTTCTGTTGAGACTTTTTCATGAGACTCTAGAAGGGTTTGGGTTCACTCATTCATACATGGATTAAAATTGTTTATGGCCCAACCACTTTTATGCCGAGCTCACTTTGAGTAAAAACGAATAATGGGATAATTTTTATTTAAGGTTGCAAAAAGCCCAAAGCCTCAAGTCCAGAACCCTGTTCAGAAAAAGTAAGGGCCCAAAGCCCAAGTTCCAGTAACACCAGCTCTGGCCCAAATGTGCTAGTCCAAAGAAAGAACACAAGGCCAAAATATTTGGACAAAGACAGAATCATGCAAGCAAGGAGATTTGTGGGTGGTGTGCGCTATAGTGGTCCAAGATATTTGTGAAGATTCACAGTGCACGTGACAGATCTAATGGGCAAAAAAACAATGCTGATGTACAAAGGAACTGTGCACATTGTGAACAAAACCATGCATTTGGGAGGAATATTAAAGGAGAATGGGGGTAATGGTTTGAGGACAATCTTAGACAACTGCTGTTTGTATTTTTGAGGACTGTTTTCTATATTTCTTTATGTTCTTGAACACATTTTATTTTGGGTTGTATTAGCAGAGCATATCTTGAGATGTGCTGCTGCAGCTGCAGTAGGCTATATTTCGTTTTGTGGTTCTATAAGTTTAATTTATTGTTGCTGTTTTGATGCTGACCCCGAAATGAGGATGAGCTAAATTACTTTTTGGGATGGGTTGAAAGATTACCTATCCTCCCTTATGCTATTTGAACTTGGTTTTAATTTTAAGTTGATTATTCAGAGTCTCGTGTCTCGGGTTCGATCCTCACTACCCCCCACTTTCTTTATAGTGAAATTTCTTTCTTCGCACAGGTAGGTAAGCCTGGGCATTGTCCACCCTTCAAACTCAGTGGGCTCTCATGTGAGGGGGCGTGTTGAGATATATAAAACCATTAATGTAGCCTCACCCAACAGCTTAAGCTTTTGGGTTGAATTGGTTCTTTACAGATATAATTTTGCAATAGTTATGGTTTCTCCGTGAACCTAATTTTATTAATATGAAATTGATGAAAGCAGTAATGGAGACAAGCTCCTTACAAACACTAATTGTAGAAAAAAAACCCAAAAGTTCACCCTTAGAACCAACACACCTAGGTTCCAAGAGATTCCCAATTTCCCCAAATATTCACTTAATTCATGCCTCCCTTACTACACACGCTCCCCCTCCTTTTATCCTATACTCCAAAACAATTCCCTAACTAACTAACTAACTCCCTTAATTTTAAAGCCCATCAATACTCCCCCTCCAAAACTAACATTGTCCTCAAGGTAAAGAAAAAGGATAGGTAATGTGAAAGAACTCTCACTCAAGTCCCATTGTTTGAAGCACCTTGACCACATTGGTAGCTTTAATTCCATTTTCTTTACATCAACCTCCATGCCTTCACAGTCGCAGAACTGCCCTTCCCCTTCCAGCTCTAGGAGCTAGGAACCAAAGAGAAATATGCTTCCCCATGAAACCCATTTTGGGCGCCACTAAGAGCTTCAAACAAGGAAAAGCATTGTGTTCATGTGATGCTTGGAAACCTCTTCTTCTTCTTGTTTTAGAGCTTGTGAGGTAAGGAACCATAGATTTCCTTGATTTCTTTGATTTTGATGACCTAGGGTTTCCTAAGTTTTGAGGATTTTTTGATTGGAAGTGTAATGTGTTGAAATTAATGATGGATATGTGTATATTTTGGTTTTGGAATGTTGATTGAGGTAAAAATTTGGCGGAAACCCCACACTTGTACCCACTATAACTATTGGGTTAGGGTTTCTTATTTGAAGTTGAAAGATTGAGGTAAGCTTCTTATCCCTTGTTCATGGAAAGGAAGTGGTATAAATTATTGTGATGTATGTATTACAAGTAGTTTTGGTTGGGTCCATGCCATGAAATAGGTTGTTGAAGGATTTTGAACTTGTTGGCTTTGGAACCTAAAGACTAAAGGCTTGAGAAGAGATCATCAAAGGTAAACTCTAAGGATTAGTCTCACTTGTTGTTCCACCATGCTCCTTTGGAGTAATGGTTATTGTATTGGATGATTGGTTGATTATTAGTTATATGGCATAGCTGCATTCATATAGAGTTGTTATACATTGGGGTATGGACCAATGAACAAGCATTAGAGGCTTGATTGTATGGTTAGTATACGGGCTAATGTATAATTGAATGCTTGAATTGATGAATTGATTGTTAGTTCTTTGGCCAATTGAACATGGATATGGACTTCCCTTGGGGATTTATCCTAAGAGGTACGGCTCATTGAAGTTCTATACGCACACTAGTTTTAAGGTATGTCTCATTGGAGTGGTTCTAGTGTACTGGGTGCACAAGTTAAATCAATTATGTATTGCCTTTGTTTATATGATGCTTGTTATGCCATGTGTTCTAACCATTTATGCAAGAAAGTGAACTCAAGCGTGGAGTAATATCCCAAGGACCCTAAGTTTACTGAGATTATTATCTTACCCCATGTAGGGACTATATGTAAGGACAATGTTTCTGGTATAACAAGAGAAGGAGCTAGTACTTCCAAATGATAGGAGTCTACGTAACACATGAAGATTCCTCTTTTTGACTTGGCATATTTTGTAGATGATAGCATGATAGGACCATTTTTTAGATATGTAATTGGTTAACGGCATATATTGGATTGTATAAATATGGTCTACTTTTAGATTTGTGAATGAAAAGTTAAGTGCAACTGCAGTAAGGCACTGATGTTTTGATTATACATATGTTAAGATCAATGCTTCGTAATGAATTAGATGGCTTGAAGCCAAGAATACTAGTAGTACATCGATCATTATGATAAAAAATTTATGAATCACTTGGAATGTGTACTTGATGATTGGTTCTTTTGTGCAGTTGATAACATATTTATTAGGTGAAAGAATTGAGTTTATACTCTTGAATAGGATCTAAGACACAAATAAAGACCTTGAAATTAGAACTTAGTGCTTGGGGGCGCTAAAACCCGATTAAGGTCAGAAAGACCAAAGTTGAGGGTGCTACAGCGCACTTGAAGGGGCTAAAATGCGCTTCAAGTCAGTAAGCCCCAACTTGAGGGCGCTATAGCGCGTTGGAGGGCACTATAGCGTGCTAAATAATAGAAAAATACCTGTTGTCCGTGCAACAATGGGCTATTGGGCGCTACAGCGCATTAAATAAAAGCAAAACCCGCTGGTGCACGCTCTAAAGCGCGCTCTTAGGCGCTAAAGCGCGTTGTGCCAGTTTCATTAACTTCCCTTTTACCCCTCTAGGCTTATGTGGGTCACTTGTTATAAGGTTGTAGGCTTATGTAGGACCCTTTTTAACCAAGATAATCTTTATAACTAAGGAGTTAGATGTTAACGAGCATGAAATGAATGTTATATAAAAAGAAAAAATTTATTCATATTTTCCCCATAACAACATCTTATTTCACAATCTTACACATCATGTAATTCTAAGTAATTAAGAATTAATTTTAGCTGCATTTAATACCATAATTAAGTTAATACATCGGATGCACATAGAGTATTATATGTAGCAGCTATCCTGTTATAGCACTTTTGGGGTCGGTCACTGCACTATCCATGATTGATAACTATATTGTATATACTGTAAGTAATCAAGATTTGGTTTCTATTACTTATATTAATTCCTACTTTCCATATCTTTTTAATCTTCTAATATTAAAAATTGTAATTTCCTAGTCTCCTATTAAATAAGATTGTAAATTATACATAAATAAAAAGTTTTGTTGAGAGTTCCCTTGAGTAATTCAGAAATCCCTAATCTACATTTGCAACACTTAATAGTTTATGCTTTTCTTCGCACTTCATCACCCAGCATTCAGAACCAGAGTATTGCGAGGCTTATGACTAAAAATTGTTCTTTAAGCTTGAGAGGCACCTTTCGATCACAAATAACTCGTGAAACATTCGTCCATTTCATCTACCCAACTTGGATCCTATGATCTGCATCTCTCTCTCTCTCTCTCTCACCATTACTTTGAATGACAAATCCATGATACCTAAACCGAGCTACTTATGCTATAGTATCATCTCCAATTTTCACCTCCAAGTTAGAGCGTATCTTGCTAAAGTTACACTTCATATATTAGATTTTACTTAAAATGTCTCTACACCCTAGTTTACCATTTGATCCTTCTCTTGATTCTCCCACTAGGATAACATAATCTACAAAAATCATTCATTGAGGCAATGGAACCTGGATGTGGTTGGTTAGTAAGTATATCCAAGACCAAGGTAAAGAGGTAAGGACCAAACTTGACCTTAATGCAATCCTATAGTTACAAGGAAATAGTCAAGTGATTCCACCACCACGCGTTCACATATTAGAGTTATATTTATAATAACCAGGTATTGTTTAAATCGAAGTTTGCTTATTTCTCTCACCGTTTACATATAATTTATCTGAAAATGGATCCTGCTATGTGTTATTTAACATGATCATATCATGCGAAAGGATCTTAATCATCAATGAACAAATCAACAGTGATGATTTTGTAACTTCCTATCTCTATATTTTTTCTCTTTTATTTCTTATTATCATTGATTCACCCTTGTATAAGTTAGGATTCTTCCACATGACATGGTCATATTAAATAATACATAAAAGGATCCACTCCCAATTTATCTATACTTTAAAACAGGTCACCAAGATTTGCAAGACAATATGTGATATTAAACTAAATTAAAAACTAAAACTTTGATAAACTATGAATTATTTGAAACCAAATTGACTAACATAAACCAATTTCAAACCAGTTTTTAAATTAGCCAAACATCTAAAATCAAGCAATTGAAGATACAAATTTTATGCATTGAAGGAAAGCCAACTTTTTTTCAACAATTACATATAAATAAATCCAGGCAAAAATAAATATTATTCATCATGAATGTTCTTCAAAATCTTAAATCCAGTTCAATATTGCACATGAGTTATCTGAGGGTACAATATCTAAGTTCAAAAAAATCTCTTTATCATGCACATTGTACGAACAAATATATCCATTTTCTATCTTTTATCTAAGCAAATCATGAATATGAGGGCGAGCCTCGAGCAATACAAATATATAAAGGTAAGGTTGCATACAAGGATTTCCTCACCCCTACCATCGCAAGATAGGGTTTCATGGAGAGTTATTTTTATTTTAATGTAAGCAAATCATGAAGCCATATTCAAAAATGTGTATGTGTTCTTTAAGAGAGAGAAAACCTTGAAGCACAGCTTCGACTGCTGAATTAGGAACAAGAAGCCCAACAATACGTTGGTTATCCTCCGTAGTTTCAATGCGTACAACACGTAACCTCCTATGGCTTAGGCGGGCCTGTACAGATTTTAATTTGTAGTTTAGTTTTCTTCACAAGAAACATATTTATGTAATTTCTGAAAGTACTACCAATCAAAAAGATATCATATAATCAGTCATTAGTAAAGTCATGGGTAACTGTCTGAGCCAACTCTCAACGAAAACCTTTTCATGAAAGAAAAAAATTCTGTTGAAAAGTTACTATAATAAATTAATTCAATTTATATCAAAAATCCAAGCCATCTGCTACAATTTGCAGACAGCAAACCTCATTATTTCAAAATTCAACTCAAATCACTAGATCAAATAATAGGACAAAGTGACAAATCAATGCATGAATGGATAATTTTAGCATCAGTAAAACAGTTGTTTCATGCTAGAATATTTTGGTTCCTGGCATCTTATATGCGGGAGCAATACCTGCTTAGAAAGGGCCTTTTCTACAGCTCCCCAAACAGGAAGAATGAGGCCGCCCAAGACATTTACTTCCTGTAGTCTTCTACCAACTGTACAAAAGTTGCCAATCTTACAATTGGGACCATGCATGCACTGATAACAAAGATAAGAAGAAGCCAATGTAAGACAACAAAGAGTCAACGAAGATTACATATTTTCTCATCTTACATCTGAATGTGCGTTTTCAGATACTACCATGCAGGTATTCTACGATAGATAATACAGCAAGGGTGCAAAACATAACTTTAAAATAATTAACCTATCACTAAGTGCATGACTCAGGTATATGACAATTGTTCCAGAAGTTCACAACAATTAGACATGACAACAGCATATCCTTTGATCTTAGAACGGCAGTAGAAACAACCAAGTTCTAGGGCATATGACTAGAACATTTGCTTAGCTGCCTTGCTTTTTTTTTTTTTTTTTTTTTGGATTTTATTTATGAGTAGAGGAAGAAAATGACGGTAAGAGAGGAATGATAATCTTCTTTAAATTTCATAATATCAATGGCTGTAACAAATAAATAAACTACTCTTTATGTTGTTCTAACAGAACTAGAATCCTGCTTAAATAGTAAAAATCAGTAATTGACTTTTCGTGTCAACCATCAAGATTTCAATCACGTTGGTTTCCTTGCAAATTTACAGAGAGAAAAAAAACTTGCTGAAGAGATATACCTGTTTAGATGAAACTTCATATTCCACTTCCCAACCAGTTTGAGCCTTCTCTAACGAGGAAATTTTTTTATATTTACTTTTTAATTCAGACAGAGGCATCTCCCTATATATTTGGGGGGAAATCGTAGTGAGACAAGATAATTAAACTGAAGGGCTTAACAAGGCCTAATTAATAGAAAATACATACCGGTTTGATTCTCCAACAGGGGGACGAACTATCTTATACATACCCGAAGCAGAACTGCAACAGAATGAAGAACAAAAATAATGACACAAGCATACCAATAAGCAGATCTTGTGTGTGTTCAGCATTAGGTTGCTTCATGTAAGTATCTGTATATGCATCTTGAGAAATCATGTCTAATATTGCAATAAATTATATATATGGAATAAAATGAAAAAATTTAAAATAAGATCAAGAGGGTTTAAGAAAATTTGGAGAAATAACTACAAAAAACTCGTTTCAATTCCAAACCAAATTGCATATTTACTTTCTAGGTATCACTTAACACTTTTGTCTTCGTGAGGAGATAAATGGAATACTTCAGCACAAAGTGATCTAAAGTTTTTATTGACTTAATAGAGTATGAAAAGAGAACCACAAAATATAACTGAATTGGATATATATATATATATAACCACTCCCCATTAAACCTCGAATAGCGAGAGAAGGGGTAATGACAATCCTCATACGCAACCTTACCAACCACTCCCCATTAAATCTCGAATCTCCAGGGTAGAAGTGAAGGCCCTTATATGCAGCTTTATCCTTGTATACTTATAAATAGGTTGTGTCTCCGATATAAAAACACACACACGCACACATGCACGCGTTGATGCTTTTTTATTTTTTTTCATAAATAGCAATTTTCTTTTACTATTTTCCATCTGTCGTGGTTTCATTTGATAGAGAACAATGATATTTTAAGCCATGCTACACAAATAAAATACTATGAGAGGATAACTTTATAGGTGATCAATTTTTCTCGCTCACATTACCATCTATACAATTGATTTTTGTTGTGAGTATTTATAGATAGAGTAGGATCGGTGGCTCTTTATGATGTAATTATTTTATTCACTATATAATACAGTCTCCATTGTATGAGTTAGACACAAATATCACATCATATGCCTCTTGTTTTCTTGATATTCAAACATGGTACTAAGAGCCTAACAAGAGGCAACCCTAACCATAATTCATGCCTACTCGATGGACCCATTGTCCACTAGCAACAAACTTTTTGAAAACCATACCATCCACCCAATTTTTAGTGTGTCTCCCAAGAAGTCCCTTGGCAACATCCCCGATCATCGTCCCAATCTTCTTTTGCCACGTTTGTAGGCATCAAATCGCCATCAGCCATAGTCCACCACCAGAAAAAAGATGTCCAAACAGCGTGTCTTTCGCCAATTTCTTCTTAACGGATGGGACCCACAATGAACGGAGACCAAATCCAGAAAGAGGAGAGAAAGGCGAGTTGTTCTATCTTGGAATGGCCGGAAAAAGACCGTGAACAGTAACAGTACAGACGCGTGAACAGTGCCTGTACGAACGACGTGAACAGTGCCTGTACGGACGCGATGAACAGTGCCTGTACGGACGCGATGAACAGTGTCGCGCGAACAATAATGTCAATGAACAGTACCCCATGTGAACAGTGCAGAAACAAGCCGGAGGGACACACGACGTAGAGGAAAGAGAGAACGCCTAAGCAGTGGGCTTAGGATTTTAGCGGAAGCGAAAGTTCCCAGAACAAAGAGCTCTGGTACCAAATTAAAATGTATGAATGTATTGTATTCAATTGTGTATAGAACTGTACAAAAGTTCTCTATTTAAAGAAGTTAAAAGACCTAATGGACCAAGCCCAAATAACTTGCTAGAATAACAGAATAATAAAAATACAATATTATTTCTAACAATTTCATTAGAGAAAAAGTCCTCTCCAAAGAGATCGTCACTCACTTTGTTAACTCAAATAATCAACTAGTGGATGTCTATAGTAAGTCTTTGAGAGGTCATCAAATAGATTATATATGTAACAAGCTTGGCACATATGATTCATATGCTCTAGCTTCACGGGGAGCATTGTGAATCTTTGTAAATATAGTAATATTGTAACTAATAGAGTCCCATAATGATGACTCTATGATGTAATTATTTTATTCAATATATAATACTATTGTAATATAAGACTGAAATGTATTTTTTTCATATATTGATTGACACCCCAAAGGGTTCTATTTATACATATTACAAGGTAGTTAAGGAGATGAAGTAATAAATAAAATACACAGTAACCGAAGAGGCATCACACTATTCAAAGATACTAGTAGCTAGAAACAAGTAAAAGACTCTAGAATATTCTACACTCCCCCTCAAGTTGGGAGATATATATTGATCATTCCCAACTTGCTAATTAAATCCTCAAAGATGGGTTTATGTAATCCTTTGGTGAGAATGTCGGTTGTTTGCTCCTTGGTAGGTATATATGACAAACATACACTACCCTCCTCCAATTTTTCTTTAATAAAATGACGATCAACCTCCACATGTTTGGTTCTATCATGATGTACAGGATTTTGAGCAATACTGACTGCAGCCTTATTATCACAATAGAGTCTGACAGGTAGAGAATAAAATATCTTTAACTCTTCAAGGAGTCTTCTTAACCAGATTCCTTCACAAATGCCATGGGCTAGCGCCCGAAATTCTGCTTCTGCACTGCTTCTGGCAACAACAGTTTGTTTCTTACTTCTCCAGGTCACAAGATTTCCCCAGACATAGGTACAATATCCTGAAGTGGATCTTCGGTCCATTGCAGAGCCAGCCCAATCAGCATCTGTATAAATTTCTATCATCCTCTTGTGTCCCCTTTTAAAGAGCATTCCTCGACCAGGGGTGTTTTTGAGGTACTTGAGGATTCTATAAACCGCACTAAGGTGTTTTTCCTTAAGAGAATGCATGAATTGGCTAACCATGCTAACTGCAAATGCAATATCAGGCCGAGTGTGAGATAAGTAGATCAGCTTCCCTACCAACCTTTGGTACTGTTCCCTGTCAACATCTTTTCCATCTTCAATTCCATATTTAATATTGGGTTCAACAGGAGTTTCTACTGGCTTGCACCCGAGCATACCTGTTTCTTGTGGCAGGTCTAGGATATATTTCTTCTGAGATAAGGAAATTTCGGCCTTGCTACGAGCAACTTCCATTCCAAGGAAATATTTGAGTGATCCAAGATCCTTCAGTTCAAACTGATTAGCTAAACCCCCCTTTAAAGATTTTATTTCCTCCCAGTCATCACCAGTGACAATTATGTCATCAACATAAACAATGAGGATAGCAATTTTGCCACTATCGGAGTGTTTAAAAAATAAAGTGTGATCAGTGTGAGCTTGAACAAATCCTCTTTCTTTAACAGCACGAGTAAACTTTTCAAACCACTCTCTAGGGGATTGTTTAAGTCCATAAAGAGACTTCTTCAACTTGCATACTGAACCATCTCCCACTTCAAAACCAGGTGGTGGATCCATGTAAACTTCCTCATGTAAATCCCCATTTAAGAAGGCATTCTTTACGTCCAATTGATGCAAGGGCCAATCAAGGTTGGCAGTAAGTGATAGTAGGACTCGGATAGAGTTAAGTTTGGCAACGGGAGCAAACGTCTCCTGATAGTCTGTCCGATAAGTCTGAGTAAATCCTTTGGCAACCAATCTGGCCTTATATTTGTTGATGCTGTTATCTGCATTAAATTTTATTGTGAACACCCATTTGCAACCTACAGTTTTCTTTCCTCTGGGAAGTGCCACGGATTCCCAAGTTCCATTTTTCTTAAGTGCATCCATTTCTTCAAAAACTGCATCCCTCCATTTAGGGTCATTAAGTGCATCTTGGATATTTTTTGGTATTTTTGTACTGTCTAATATAGTGTTGAAAGCACGAAAACCTGGAGATAACTTTTCATATGAAATGTGATGAGAAATAGGATGAGCAGTGCAAGATCTAGTACCTTTTCGAAGGGCAATGGGCATATCTAGGTCAGATGTACCGGTGTTAAGTGGATTGCTGGAACTAGGACTCAGGTCAGAACTCTGAAAGTCTAGAGGATCTTGAGGAGATTTACGCCTGCTGTAGAATTTTCCCCATTTACCGGGAGGATCTCCAGTCTCTGGTACAATTGTTGTCCTTTTCTCCTGTACATTAACTCCCCCTGTCTCCATAGGTAAAGAAACAACACTTGTTTCCAAGGGTAAAGGTAAGACAGTAGAATTATTTGGAATCCAAGACTTGTCTTCATTTACACCAATAGACTCCCCCTGAAGAGAAGTCGAAGGAAAAAATGATTGTGTTTCATAAAAGGTAACATCCATAGAAACAAAGACCTTTCGAAGATAAGGTGAGTAGCATTTGTACCCTTTTTGATTAGGAGGATATCCTATGAAGACACATCTAACAGACTTAGGATCAAGTTTTGACCTTTGATGGGGAGGAATGTGAACAAAAGCCACACAGCCAAACAACTTTGGAGGAAGGGAAGAGAAAGCCCGAAAGGAGGGGAAAAAACGGGTAAGGCAAGGTATGGGAGAATGAAAATTTAGGACACGAGAGGGCATCCGATTGATGAGATATGAGGCAGTCAATATAGCCTCCCCCACAGGTATTTAGGGACATGCATCGTAAACAAGAGGGCTCTAGCAACTTCAATGAGATGTCTATTTTTTCTTTCAGCCACCCCATTTTGTTGAGGGGTGTTAGGACAAGAACTTTGATGGATAATACCTTGCTTGGTTAGGTAATCCCCAAGAACAGAATTAAAATATTCAGTACCGTTGTCAGTTCGCAGGATTTGGATAGAGGTATGGAATTGAGTTCGTACCATAGCATGAAAGTTTTTAAAAGTGGCTGCAGCTTCAGACTTATCCTTTAGAAGATATACCCAGCATACTCTAGAATGATCATCAATGAAAGTAATAAACCAACGAGTTCCAGATATATTTTTTTCACGAGCTGGCCCCCAAATATCACTATGGATCAATGTAAATGGAGACGAAACATTATAATCTCTGAGGGAATAAGAAACACGAGAGTGTTTTGCAAACTGACAATCATCACAAAAAAAGGAACTTGGTTTTTTATTGATAAATAAGTTTGGAAACAACTTTTTAAGATAAAAGAAATTTGGGTGTCCTAAACGACGATGCCACAACAAAAAATCATTACAATCGAGAGTGAT